ATCCAGGGGCCTTATGATCTTTCAATTCCATTATTGCTTGATCAATTTGAGCTGTTGAAATTGGTTGATTTAACTGTTTTATAATTTCCTCATCAAATTTAGGTATATGTAATTGCTTTATGTATTCTCTCATTGCAATTCTTTCCCCTTGTGATGTTTTTTCCGCTTTATATAAATCTTTATAAAAATCTCCAATCACTTGTTTAATTTTTTCCTGCTGATTTTCTTCTATTTCTTTACATCTGATTCTAGTTATCATATTTCTTTCCTTTTCTTTCTTTAATTTATACGCAAGCCATAATAAAAGGGGACATTATTTGGCAATAGAAAAGAAAAAAGAAAAAGGAAGCTGGTATAATTCTCCCGGCACCCCCTCTGTTGCTCCGTTGCCTTAGAAGTAAATGGGGAAATCTCAGAGTTCTTTCTTTTCTTTTATATCCCCCTCAGCTTCTCCAAAATGTTCAAAAATGCTCCTGTAGCTCCACAGGCTCCTTTAATGACACTTTCTTTCGATTTCTACTACTTCTCAGCCAGCCCACTGGGGAAAAGATGATCTTGAAGTTTCCTCTTCCTCCGCTTCAACTGCTACCCACCAGAACACGTCCACAAACACAATATTAAATTTTACTGCTGGGGAGAGCAATAATCCAAGCCTTTGTCCACACCCTCTTCAGGTTCTCAGGTTCTTCCCCACCAGAGAAGATGGATAAGGAAAGACAAAGGTAACTGAAGGCAATCAATCCGGAGACTGCATAAATCAGTAAAAATAAAATTATTGCTGGTACTTCTCTCTCTCTCTCTGCCTCCGCTGCTCATCTGTTCCACCTCCGCCACACAGATGCGAGCTTTCTTATCTTGAAGCTTCCCAGAACTCCGACCTCAGCTGCGCCTGAGTCAGAATTTAGCTACAGCTGCCTCGCGTCAAACCAAATGAAAGAAAACAGTCCTATTGCCCCTTTTTTCCCTCTTCCTTCGTTTTCACAAAATGAAATTACCCCTAGAGCTTCCACTCCTCAATAGGAGAAAATAAACCTTACTATCGTCACAGGGCTTCACGGAGCTCCGAAAAGCCCTGCTGCTCACAGAGCCGTTTCCACCAGCAAGTCAATAGCGCTCCTTTCATATGTCGCCGAAAGTGCACCTCAAAAGTTTGCGGCGCACTTTCGGCGACCCTTCCACCACAGCATGTCCGGACGCTGCGACAGGAGGTTGTCCTCGGAGTGCCAACCGTGCGGAGGACCGGCTGCTCCGAGGACAACCTCGGGAGGGGGCGCCGAGCGTGCGGCTGCCCCTCCCCTTCCTTGCGCTGAAGACGGCTTTTTAAGCCGTTTGCCAAGGCCCAGTATAACCAAAAAGCCCTACCAAATGGATCATAGTTTAATGGTACAATACAGAGAGATATGCTCCTTTAGGCAGCCAGATCTGAAGCTATTTTGGCCTTTACAAATCAAACCCAGCCCAGTGACAAATGGGCAGCTACCCCAACTCTTCAAGAATTAGTCACAGTGTCTCCTAGAACTGAAATGTTCAGCACCTGTTGTTGTGTGCCTTCAAGTCATTTCTGACTTATGGCGACTCAAAAGTGAACCTATCATGGGGTTTTCTGGGGCTGAGCGTGTATGACTCTCCAGAGGTCATCAGTGGGGTTTCCATGGCCAAGTAGGGGAATCAAACACTGATCCTCAGAGTCATAGTCCAGTGCTCAAACCACTACACCATACTGGCTCAACTCTTCAAGGATTACTGTCACAAAGTCACATATAACTGAAATGGTCAACACCTGCATGGCTTTATTTTGGATAAATTGTAATCTCTGGACCATCTTCAAGGGCAGGCCTATTTAACCTCACATTACAGATTATCAGAAGATGAATTATTGTGACCAGGCTCCTGCTATGCAGGAAGAGGCCACATCTGGAAAGAGGCATTCAGCATCTGGAGTTCTAGAGAAAGGTACCATCGTGGAGGTTCTCCATCAGATCATGTATCTCTTGCCGTCTGTAGATTTTTTTAGTCATAAAACTTGCCATATGACAAACTATACTGGATGTTTAAAAAGAAAGAAAAGTTATTTTATTTCATTTAAATGAGAGCAAAAGACACTGGAACCCCCATCCCCACCCATATATACTAATAGGAAGCTTGTCAGTTGTTTGTATTTTGATTAACAGCAAAAATGAACACCATTTGATGGGAGGGTGGTTTCTTAAGATTCAGTGCACAGCTGAGTGCACTCCAGTGCATGGCTGCAATGACTGAAGCTCCAACTCTTCCAACTCATCCTCTTCACTACTTATTTTTGTGCACCTTCAAGTTGTTTCTGACTTAGGGTGACCCCAAGGCAAACCTATCATGGGTTTTTCTTGGCAAGATTTGTTCAGAGAGACTTTACTTTCACCTGCCTCTGAGGTGGAGAGTGTGTGACTTGCCCAAGGTCCCCAGTGAGTTTCCATGACTAAGCAAGGATTTGAACCTTGGTCTTCAGAGTTGTAGTCCAATGCTCAACCCACTATACCACTGGTTCTGACTTAGCCAGTAGTTCCGGGGGGAAGTATCCAGGTGGTGCTAATGGGAGTTTTACTAGTCCCAGTAGCCATGTAGATGGGCCTGGAGGGGAGAGTGCAACAGGGGATGAAATAATTACACAATCTTCCAGACATGGAAGAAGTGAAAATCCAATGAGAGCATATTGAAGAGAAGACATGTGTCTTTATGCAGACCTTCTCAATTAGGATTCCCAGATCTCAGGGTCTGGACACCTTTCTGTGTCCCTCAAGATGTGGGGGAAGACTCTCAGGGCATGAGGATTCTCTTAGAAATACTTGGGTCATGTAGCTAGTTTTCTCTTTGATACAGCTCTTGGAGAATCAGCTGGACTAAACTACCATGTGTTCTTAGAAGCACTTGTTAAAAACAGAGCTGGAAATGTGTACCTCCCCATTCAGTGTAAAAAATGGAGGAAAATAATATCTCTCACAATATCAACAGGGTCTGTCCCTATGTCTCAGATTTGTCTTAGGGCCTGGGATGCTTCTGACCTGGCAGCCCTAGTCCCAGTGTAGTTTTCTATGTTCTTTATTCCTACAGATAATTCAGATGTATGCTTCATGCTGCAGCCCCAATGGAAATTCTCTTGACCCTTTAAAAAACCAGAAATATGGCAGGCTCCCAGATGACGAGTTAGAACTGGCAGTTTGATTTCTTATTGGGAGAAAAAAACCCACAAGGTACCATAAATAAGGGGGGGGGAGCAAGAGCAGCTGGGAAGGAGTAGAAATGTATTCATGGATAGCTATAGATCTTTATGTATAAGACAATGGCTGTTTCCCTTAACAGTTACCCCCAGAGTTCATGGTTTAAAACTGAAGGAATTGTCTCAAAATAAGTGGGTTGTAAATAATGACCTTCCTCGTTATTCTGTGCCTGTGACAGTGAAGTCCTTTCTGGGTTTTGACACACAACTAAACATTTCTGTTGCCAGTAGATTTTGTTTCTAAATTAAACATTTCCAAGATCCATGTATATTAACACCACAGTCCTATGCAGGTCTGCTTGAATGTGCTTCTAGGTATGTGTGCAGGTAAGTACTGTGACGTAGTAGGACTTGTCTCCAGTTTAATTATGCATAGTACTGCAGATTAGGTTTCTCACAGCTAATATTTTGTTCATAATAGTGGAATGTCAGTTATATTACCTAGTGAAATCCCAGAGATCCTTATTATAATGTGCTCAATACAAATTGCACGTGTCATATATTACACAAACAAAATCTGAGTGTGTTAAATCACATGGCCATTTGAGAAACAACTGTTTGAATTATTCTGTCCCTTTAGGTAGAAGTTCAGCCATTATGCAATGTGGACAAGATTTCTAAGCAATGGTTAAATCTGCCCTTCTTCACCTTGAACACTTGGAGGCAGCATTGCCCAGTGAATGCGTCAAGAAAAGCCATGAGCAGAACAGGGAAGCTTATGAAAACATGAGATGTAAAAGATTATGAAACACAGAGACCTATAGAAATGCATGAACTATATTCAGAAAGAGATACCTAGTGAAGATCAAATTCTAGACTTCCTTATTTTACTAATCAATACTATAAAATGTTTACATCTAAAGATTTCAAAGTGATGTAAAGTTAGTCCTCTGAATCCGTGGATTTTTTTTATCCATTCAAGCATCTATGGCTTGAAAATATTAAAAAATATAATAAATTCCAAAAAGCAAACCTTGATCACACCATTTTATATAAGGGACACCATTTTACCATGCCACTGTATTTAATAGGACTTGAGTATCCACAGATTTTGGCACCCACATGGGTTCCTGGAACCAAACCCCAGCGGATAACAAGGGCCCATTGTACACAATTCAGAAAACTACAAAAGCAATACATCAGTACAGTGACCAGAGAATCCTGTTGATAAATGGTAGGATTACATAAGCATATGTTCTTTTTTGGACATTGTTAAAAGAGCTATTCAATACGAACTTGTCCAATGCCCCCTTCAGTGGACAGTGTTCAGATGTAATAGAATACTCCTATGGCCATTTACTGGTGGGTGGAAGAGGGTCAGGAGGTACCCAGGATGTCATGCCTGCTACAATTCCATACTTTGAAAGAAGAAAGCTAACATCACACTGATTTTCTGGAAATCCAGGAGGGCGATCTTATGTCTCTTTCTCCAGCTGTAGAAATGCAACCAGAAACTGTCCAGGAGCCTCCTGGCATCCCCTGGCCACTGTGTGGTCATAGTAGCATGCTCCAGTGCTTGAAAGATGCCTTTTTCAAGCATTGGATCTCCCCAAAGTAGAAGAGACAGAGAACTGTGTGAGCAAAGTGTTATGTTCTGTCCTACCCATTATCTGCATTAGCCACCAGACTGAAACGCAAAGTAATATAAATGATAAGGCTTGCATAAAGAGATGTGTCTTCTCTTCATTTAGGCAGGAAAAATGAAATGTACAAATGGGGGATGGGTGAAACCTGGTTTGACAACAGTACATGTGGAAATTATCTAGGGCCCTTAGTAGACCACAAGCTTAACATGATGTGACTTCCAAAAAGGACAGTTCTGGGTTGTATCAACAGGACTATGGTGTGGACATCAAGGGATGCAACAGTACCACTCTGCTCAGGTTTGGTCAGACCTCACTTGGAGTATTGTGTCCAGTTCTGGGCATCACAATTCAAAAAAAAAAAAAGGAAACTGACAAGTTGGAACGTGTTGATATGGGGACAATCAAGATGGTAAGGGGTCTAAAAACCAAGTCCTATGAAGAACAGCTTGTGGGAATGTTTGAAGAAAAGAAGACTGAGAGGTGATATGATAACCCCTTTTAAATATTTTGAAGGGATGCCAAGCTACTCCAGAGACTAGAACTTGATCCAATGGATTCAAGCTGTAAGAAAAGAGATACTGCCAAAACATTAGGAAGAGCTTTCTGACAACATGAGCCATTCCACAGTGCAACAGTGGTGTCCCCATGCAGGGTGTCACTCAGTGCAGGGTTTGGCTGCTGGGGGAGGGATGACAGCATGCCAGAGGGGGCGGCAGCAGTGGCATGCTGGTCCTCCAGGCTTCATCACAGGTCATGCTTTTCTTCCTCCTCTGGGGCCAAAGCAGCCTGGAAGGGCACATGTGCAATCCTTCTCCTCCTCTTTTGTTCTGGGCTTCCTCTCCAGGGAAAAAGCCCAGGATGGAGGATCGCTCTTCCTCCTCCTCCTTTGTCTTGGGTTTCCTCTCCAGGAAAAAAAGTCCAGGGCATAGCAGACTGCAAGTGCACATATTTTCCTCTTCTTCCTCTGTCCCAGTCTTTTTCCTTGGAGAGGAAATGTGGGGCTGTAGCAGCTGGTAAGGGGAGAAGTGTCCAACCAAGTGTCACCCCTCCTTTGGGTGTCAACTGGTGCAGTTTGCACCCTTTAGTGATGCCACTGTTGAGCAACAGATTGCTTCAGAGGGTAATGGATTCTCTTTTTTTGGAGGTCTTTAAACAGAGGTTGGATGACTATCTCTTTAGTGTACTTTGATGGCATGTGCTGCATGGCAGGGATTGGACTAGCTCACCCTTGTGGCCCCTTCCAACCTATGATTAGATGATTCTTCAACATATAACTAAAATATGAATTACTGGTACATTTCTATTATGAGGGGCAAAAATATTCCAAATAAATGAAACTACACTAACTGCTCTGAACAACTGCAGAGCCACCTTTTGGACCATGAGCCAAGAGAACCTGTTCAGATGATTTCAAAACCAAATGATGGCCTAAATCCAATTTTTAGTCCCAATCAGAGTAGACCCATTGAATTAATTAAATCATATGTGTCGATTTACGAAGCTAGTGAATCAGCTGACTCAGAGAGTATAAATAAAGTTGAAAATATTCTAGGAGAGAATTACCGTATCTGCCGTTCTTCATTGAATGTCTCATGCTTCTACCAGTGCATGATGACATTTAGATGAAAGCAATGAAAGCTACTATCTTGACATCCCCTACTATCAATAATACAGGGATCTTCATTTCCCAATTACTGATTTTTGCATTTCTGATTTTAGAGACCCAGGGTGCTACTGAAGCCCTGTAGACAACCAACCTTGAGGCCAGGTTTCAAGATGTAGCAATAAAGAGATGTTTTAGGTCAGAGGTACTCAATGTAGGGGTCCCTGGAGTGGTCCCAGTCCATGAACCATTGGCTGCAAATCTGCAGTTTCCAAGAAGGAAAGGAACAGTTTTAGGCATTGGGCACACATGAAATTGGTCCCTGGCACATTATTTTTTAAAAAAATGCTGGTCCTTCACATCAGATAGACTGAGAAGATGTGGTTTAGGTCATCAAGAGATTTGATTGTTGGGAACAGAAGAGGGCCTGAGAATGTGCTGCTCAGGAACATCCGTCTTGCCCACATTAGACAATGATAAATCATAAGAAATCAGAAACTGAATCAAACTATTGGTCTATTCAACCCAGTCTTGTCAAGTCTCACTGACAGCAATGGCTCCTCAAGGTATCAAACAGAGTTCTTTCCTAATCCCATCATGTGATCTCTGGTATTCCCTGCAGGTTTCCTATCATGTATTAATCAAGCCTGACCCTGAGTAGTTTTGGAAACAGCCAGAATAAGGTGTCTTCTGGGTGGTCCGGTGATACTACTAATAATATAATAATAGAGTTTATTTGTACCTCGCCTTTAGCCAAGGCTATCAAGGTGGCTTACATGTAAAATTTATCACAAAACTCAAACAATACAACAAGCATATAACCCCCCCTTAAAAATAGATTAAATCAAATCGGCATTAAAATCTGATTTTAAAAAAATAGGCTTTGAGGCATCTAATACAGATTAAAACAAGCGGCACTCTAGGTCAGGGGTAGGCAACCTTTCCCCTTTAAGGGCCGAGGGACTTCAGCTCCCAGAATCCCAGGAGCTATTGGCCAACATGGGACTATTGGCCAACATGGCTGAGGCTTCTGGGAGCTGAAGTCCATCGGCCCTTAAAGGGGAAAGGTTGCCTACCCCTGC